TCCCTCACTAATACTAACATTTCAAAAGAATTCTCGCATCGCTTTCAACATATTGGTAACCAGTTCAGCGATACCAACAATTGATTGAAGCCTCTTGATGAAACACCTTCCCTTTGCTTTGATGTCTAAGTAGCAACAGAAGACAAGTTTATTATGCCAGTGCACAATACCGCATTGACACGGCTTCAAAAAGGACAAGTTGTTGTGTTGTAATAATCCATAGAATGACAAATTACTAGAAATATTACATGGTTTCCTGACCAGATAAATAATGGCTCCATAAGTAATTTTTGAAGTACAGTAGTCTCTGTGTGTTTTTTATTCAAGCCTTCCTGACTCACTTTCATCTGGTAACATCAAACTGGCCTCATTATCACTAAAATAAAAATTGAACAAACCAAGTCTTTACAGACACCTTCAAATAAGGCACCATCCAAGCAAACTTGAACCAACTTTGGTAACCTCCAGCACATAAAGATAGCAAAGGATCTCTGAATTCTCAGAAGTTACCTGCTAGTCTTACATATGTGCCCTACGAATTTGTTTTCAGTCCGCTAAGGAAATTAGCAGCTTTGGATTCTGATCAGGAACAGGGGAGGGCAGGACAAATTAAATACACCAGACACCGCTAGCTAAAAGTAAAGTGGTTTTGGTTTTGCTTAATGACACCTGCTTGCTATGACATTACAAACACCGAATGAAGAGAGGGTAAGAAAAGAAGAAAAGTAAACCCATGCTTTCTCAGTTAACTGTTGGAGTCATCCAAGATACTATTATTTTCAGGGTTTTGTTACTGCCTGATAGTGGATACAATCAGAAGAGAATATCTGCCCTGCTTTAGTATGGTGGTTCATTCTGGACTGCAGAAGAAGGTGTGTAGACTTTACACCATGGTGTAAACATGTGTATCCTAACGCATATGCTTTTACTGGTTTCATTGCTGTGGGAACAGTCTTTGGCATAGAAGCACAATGGACATTTCAGGGGCAGTAACTTCCTAAGGTGCTACACTAGCTAGACTCATTAGACCTTATCTGGCTGAAATAGGTGTGGATGCAAATTTTCTAAGAGTTAAAACTGAGTAACATAGAAGATAAACACAGCATTATTGAACCGTACCCAGAAACTCACTCGAAGCTCACAGGGAACTGGTATGAAATAATATTCAAATTTCAACTAATTTAACTTGACCAGTCAGGCTAAATTGCCTGAAAAATAATAGTACAAAACAAGATCAGTAAAACAAATCCCATCAGTGTAAGTATAACATTTTTATAGTAACTGAAAATTTCAAGATAACTGAGCATATTACTATAACAGTTATTACTACTACAGACAAAAATAAAAAGTCATGTTTACAGCTAATAATTGGAAAGCAAAATGTGTTCTTCATTTAATTTCCTTTCAAGCTGCGCTACATTCGAAGGGACATTTCAAACAAGTTAAAATCAACATTGATCCAGAGGAAACGACCTTCTACAAGGTAACCTAAAATGCAGTATGGTTCCCATTGTACACAGAGTCATAGGTAGGCTTTGAAATGTGAATATGACCACAGACTATGCATTTCAGAACGCACAGCAGACCTAAGACAGGGCTGTAGGGAGGCAACTGAAGGCCACCAAATCATATGTTGCTCTTTACATAAAAATTGTGATCCTTTCTACTGAGATCTTATTGATCTACTAGCTATGCATAAATTAGCATTCTCTATTTTAAGTACACTTTCTTCACTGAGAAAGGGATATACTTAGCAAAAGTTAGATTTTTCATATTTAGGGAAAAAGAAAGTTTATGTGCATATATACATGCAGGGAGGAAAACAGAAAATGGGGAAAAAAACAGAGTTTTTTATGGTCTTTGTAAATGCTATACATGCTTAACTTCACCTGCTTGAACAGTTCTAGTGATTTCAGTGAACCTGAAATAGTAAGCTAAAGCCTACATTAAAGCACTTGCTAGGTGAGGGTATAATTCAAAGTCCCCTGGAGTCGAAGGGAATCTTTCCATTGAATTTGATACACTCCAGCCATCCCTCCACCTACAACTGTACAAAATGCCAATTATGTATACACCAAAGTTACTACAAACTATGTTCTCTCAGTCAGAATAAATCAGGATGGGCGTAATGAAAGCAAAACAGGTATGCTGATTCAGACCTACACGTCCTTGCAGAAATTTTCAGATTCATTTCTAGAAGTCAGCAATGATCTTCCAAATTTAAGGAAAAGCAGTGACATATTACATTTTACTTTTTAGCTTGTCATCAGTCATCTTTTAAATAACCAGAATATTCCCAGTGAGAGCTTCCTGTATGGAATGCATTGGCTGGATAGCCAAGACACACGTGGGACTCTGCTGCTCCTCTTCGCACCCAAGAAGTCAGAGTTTGCCTTTCAGCCAGGGTGCTAGTTCACAGGGAGTCGTACAAGTACATTACATTTGGGATTCCTGTAAAAGCTCAGGGTATCTAAAATCCAGAGAACCAGCTATATCTCCAGGCCTGAGTGACTGAGGTCTATCACCGCTTTTTAACAGAACTAAATGAACATGAGCATCAAATATTAACATCAACACGTCGACTTGAGAGACTCCAGGATCATAACAGAGAACAAGGGGCACTTCAAAAATTCATGTTGGAAGCACCCAGCTGGCTGTAGCCTAGGGTAACTAAACATGTATGCTGTAAAGAACTACAGAATAAATGTTCCTGTGTTACTTTAGTCCTGTGTCCACATCACCAAAAAAACCATGACTTGAACCTGACAGCAATAAATTCAGGACTAGAGAAGCCTGAGGTTCTTATTCCTTGCAGTAATTTTCACAGACAAGTAACTTCTAGGACAGGGAACTTTTCCAGTGACTGTGATGGATTGTCCCCATTCCTCCTACAGTCAGAACTACTGATAGGAAAGTTTGCAATTTTGCCTTTTGTCTGGTTGCAAGAAAATAGGAAGTAACCTTCTTTCTTGTATTGCTGGCTGCATCTTTTAAGTGAGGATGATGCTTTTGCGGTTTCCCAGTTGAAAGTACAGTAGTTAAAATAACTAGTTTTCAAACTGTACCATCATGAATGTGAGCACAATTCTTTGCTTGTCATGAACTAGCAATAAAAAGACTCACTGACAAAAGATTTGTATATGTATATTGAAACAGATATTCGATCGAACACACGTAGAACAACTGAAGTCATTCTCAACTTCATGCTGGAAACATGGACCCAGCTTGCCTTCCGGAAACCTCCTGACTTACTAGCAGGTTGATGAGGAACAGAGCGAGTTTCATTTTGCATTCAAGAAGTATGATTGCTTGATGGTATTTTTAATCTCAGCAAAAACAAAGTGTTTAAAAAAGAAAGATGTATTCTAATTACACTCATCATGCTATCATTCATTAAGAGCTACATTACCAAATGCCATCATCATTCAAAAGCAATAAGTCAGGAAATCTTCAGACATTGAAGCATTTGGCTTCTTTTCCTCTAGGGATGCTAATGTAACCTCTCAGAAGGTTTGTACACGACTGATACTAGAATATTGAAAAGTGCAGTATCACAAATCATTTCAGGCAGAAATTATTTTGTACCAGTAATGTAAAACATAATTTTGCTGTATTGAAGCCATTTGGAAACGTTCACTTGGCTAATGGTCACAACAGACAAACAATGAGGTAGACAACAAAAATCTTAATGGTCACAAATACGGGCATGAATACATCTTACAAATGCAGCATCAGGAATGCTTAACTGTGACTGCACCAAACCTCTCCAGAGCAGAGCTGCCCCTGCTCCAAGCCAGTCAGGAATGCTCTGTAGCAGCACTGCACAGATTCCAACAGCAAAACATTTTGTTCCCGAACCAGCTAGGGTTGCTAAGTGACAGCAGCCTTCTTCTCTTCCACATCATTTACAAAA